TTTTTTTTTTTTTTTTTTTTTTTTTTTTTTACCAGAAATGACCTCATTTTGAAGGGTACATTTCTTCAGTATTTAAATGTCTGGCTTATTAGCTAGGGCACTCAACAGAAAAAATCAGCTCAAGAGACCCAAAGTTATGAATACTAGAACGAAGGCATGCTAAATTGCTCTTACAAGAGATGTTAACCTCCATGTTAATTAATCCCAGACAGTGCTGAAAAATGCAAAAGGTTAAAAGTGTCAGTGAAGAAAATTGAAATTTAGTGACCAGAGAAGGTTAAAATTTAGTTGTGTTTTTCTTTTTTATGTTTTAATAACTTAAGGTAAATGAAAAAAATTGAAAGAATTTGGAGACAATGAAGTCACAAAATAACGTTTGAAATTACGCTGTTTCGCACCTCAGGTTACGTCATAAATGTGTTACAAATGTATAGCCAGGTTATAAATGTGCAAGTGTCAATGCAAATAAGCCCAGTTTAAGGTTCCATTGTTGAAATTAGATGATGATGCCGGTGGGTGGTGTAAGAGGTCTGTGGACTGAGGACTGCTTGCAGATACAGGTGTGGATTGTGGAGTAAAACATTCCATTTCCAAATCAAAAATTACATCGTTGATTCTTTTCTTAGCAATAGCCAGGTGGCGACCAGAAAACTGTCGTAATGTAGACTCGAGCGATTTTGCAAAGGTACTGATGGAATCGTTACGATTTTCCACATTTGGCTGACCAATTGCAAGTGGCAGAGGGGTCTGCAGACATTTTATGGCTTCTTTGTAAAGATCCAGTTTTACCTAATTCAATAGTAATAACAATAATTAACAATTACTTACCAAAGTGAAGGTGAATAGTGAAATAGGAAGAGTTATTTAAGGACGCTCTTCGTTTTACCTAAATTACAATAAATTGAACGTCTCTAGCTACCTCTTCAACATCTTTCGCCTACTCAGCTTTAATTTTCTTTGCCGGTCTCTCATTTTCTGTAGGATAAAGTGTTGAAACAGCAGGGTCGACGTCGTCACTTCCCTTGATAAACATCAAAGATTTTAAATATTTCCACTGCGATGCGTACACGGCATCCGTACCGGTTCCACTGACCTTACTGTCTTCTTTTGTTTTTTTGACCTCTCGGTTAAAAATGTTCTTAAGCACATTCCACCAATTTTTAATGTCGTCGTGGCTTCTACCAGGGAGAAGCTTGGAAAGCTTTGTGTAGCTCAGTTCCTTCAAGTTTCTGTCCCGGTAGGATGAGAGGCTGTGATTCCATAGGAAGTCATTTTGTTTATAGTACTCTGTCAACTGCTCTGTCTCGTTCTCCGTCCACTCACTTTCTTCTTTTGCCCTTAGCGAACGAAGAACATCTTCTTTCATATAACTTAACGTTTCGAAGAACTTCCACCTGGACTTCTGGCCGTCACTTTCCTTCTTAATTTCCCGTGCCAACGAAGTCCTCGCCATGTGAAGCTGTCGTTTCAGATAGACCAGCGATAAGTTGAATTTTTGTGAGAGTTCCCCCAGGCATTTTTCCTTTTGCTGCTTGTTTTGCCGCTTGTTTTTTGAAGGGACATAGGAGGTGTCCCAAAGGCTACGATAGCCCTCGAGTTCTTTGTATAGGGCAAATTTCTGACTCTCTGAGAGTTTCTGGTCTACTTCAACAGCTTCTAGCTCGTCTTCTCCATCTGCCATGTTTTTCTTTTAAATTTGCCGCGAAGCCGCGCTCCGCTGACAGCCAATCACAAGCGTTGAATTCAAACTTGTTGCGAGGCAAGTTGAAGCTTCAGTGGTAATACGAGCAACAAAACTAAAATTTGTTGCAGAAAGTAGAACTCAAGTCTACTTTTCGCAACACGTCGCCTCAACTTGCAGCACTATATTTTGCTGCGAGACTAGTTGGTCACAAACGTGGTAATACGGGCAACAACGGATTTCAACTGGCGATGCAACAATGTTGCGAGACAAGTTGAAGGAAAATGTTGCCCGTATTACCGGACCTTCAGGCCTTTTCGCGCTGTGCAAACATTTTTTTTGGCTTACATATAATACTGACAAGGGAGGCAACTCTTTGCCTAAACATTTTGAACGCAATCCGAAATATCACCCGAGTCTCTAAATTTCGCAGCTTCCTCGAAACCAAACAGACACAAACGAATTCGAAAGATTCTTATACAAATTGGGAGCCTATCTTATACAGAACCGCCTGCTCGGCGATGATCATCAAGAAATACCTCACTATCATTTAGAACTAAAATAACATGATAGGAAATTGTGTCTGTATTAAGAAAAAAAAAAATCACGCATAGTGTAGTTGCATTGCAAAGAGTGTCATGACATCATGAGTGACCTGTGTTGTCATGGTCATGTAGTATTTGAATAGATCAGTCGGTGTATTGATCAG